TCTTACCTTGTGTCTTGAACTTCTTGTAAGGAGTATTTTCCTCCCAGGTCTCTGCCTTTCTTGTCCTTATACTTGAATGAAGCTGTGCTAATGAGATTTTGGAGACCCGGCTGCCCCTGCCAAAGCAGCCTCACACTGCACCGAGAAGTTGACATGTGAGCAGCCCTTTGAACCACGGAAAGACAACTCTGTCAGAGCAGTTACTCTGGCAACAGTATTTCTAATGGTGATTAGCTCTGAAACCAAGCACAAAGAGGAGTCGGTTCATTATGGAGGCGCAGCTCTGGGTTTTGGGGAGAGGAGGTGACCTGCCATTCCTCCCGTGAGTGAATTTAGTCCTCTGATAGCCCCACGCTGCTGAGAGCGGAATAGGAATTCTTTGTCTGGGGAGAATTAGTGTATGGGTAACCTTTTTCTCTGTGCAAACGGAAGCAGTGGTGGTTTGCAATGCAGATGTGCTGAGCTGGACTGCCTAAACCTGGCTTTACAGCTCAGAGACTGCTAGACAGCCAAGCTTTCCTGCTTGGTGGTACGGTCCTTCCAATAAACGATCCGCCAAGAAGTTAGCGGGAGCCGCTTACGAATGCGTAGTTTGACTAACAAAAAGTAGCGTTTGAGATGAAAGTGGCAGGGGGTGGGAAGGTTAATTTTGTTTTGGTGAGCTAGGTCAGGCATGGAAGAAGAGGCATTCAAGCCAAGAGCTTTCTCTCGAAACTTGGGCATTTTATTCATCTTGCAGACCAGGAGTTTCACATGCTTTTTGTTAAGGAGGCTTTAAAGCAAAGTATAGCTTCTAGTCATTCTGGCTTGTGAAATTAAGTTTAAATATATAAGAAATAAGGATCGGTCTTCCCCAAAGACCAAATATTTGCTAAACATCAGTTCTCCTGGTTTATAACTCTAAGTAACCTTGGCATATCCCTGATTGTTTGCGGAAGAGTTCTTGACTTTGCAAATAAATTTTGTTTGGCTTTTCATGCTGCAGAGAGATGGCTTACAATAAAAATCTCGCTGAAATTGATAGCTTACCTGAGTATATAAAAGTAGAGAGAACGCAATTGATTTTTGAAACTAGTTGAAATGCTCATCACTATCTTGAGTATTTTTGATATCTGCCTTATAGATTGTCAGTATTCATCTGTTTTAAAAACATATCTTAGCAAGTATATTTACATTAAATTCAGAAGCACTGGATCATCTTTTGGATGAGTTGGAACCCGAAAGCTCTGGGGCAGAAATATTTCTGCTTGCTCGGATTCTCTATTCACTTTATAGAACAACGTTTGTTTTAAATGTGCAGCTTCCTCTGGACTGACATTTCAATTACAGGCCCTTCAATATTAATCTGACGATTTTGACTCTGGATAGTCTTAAATTGGTTAATGAAGTACCCTGGCTTTCAGTAACAACGAGATGGTGTTTATGTACAGCCATAGCTTACGTCAGCCATTCCTGCGGAACAGTATTTCTTGCTGTATGGTTTTCAGCAGAGGTCCCACCTAAGCACTCAGCTGCCTGGACTGTTGTGGTGTGATACTGCCTTTTGGAAAAAAAAAAAAATCACCTTTGTGGACATATTCTAATCTAGGAATACTCTGGCAAAGTTGCTCGTAAATCCAGTGTGAACCTATGTGTAGTTGTAGTTGTGGAAACAAAATGTGTTGGTGTGGAGATTTTTAGCCTCTTAGGTAGGAAGGACTGGGCACTCTGAGTCCTAACAAAGAAGTGATAACAGAAACGGTTTTGGGGGCAGAACGAGCAATGCAGCATGGCTGTTCTCTGGATCTGGTGTTAGTTCTTATAATGATGGTGTATTTCTCTCTTGCTACACAACCATTTAACTGTGTTTTTTTCTTCCCTAACTACTGTGTCTGAAGATGTCAGCAGCAGGAGTCAGCAGATCTGTGGGGTTTTCAGTGCCAGCCATTTTAAGTTTTGTGTATTTCAGGGCTTTCTTCTCAGAAATAGAAGATGTAGAAAATGTGAATTTGCAGCTGCACTGCTGAGGAGATATGTGCTGAACCCCTTTTATTGACTTCTGATGGGCAAGATTTAGGTTTCATCTCTTCTCTCAAGGTAGCTTTAGAAAGAGCACAGTAGGTCTTTTGACAGTCCAGCGATTGCCCCACAGATGATCAGTCATGTCTTTCATATGTTGCAAACTTTGAAGGGTCAGGGTACTCCTTTAGGTACTTCTAAAGCTCGTATCACCACCATATCCAAGGGCAAGTAGCCCTGAGCACTTGAATATTGAATGCAATCTAATTATGGAGTGACGGCTGCATGACTGCAATGAAAGAAGCAAAAACTGTTTGGTGTCTCAAAGGAGAGCGGGTTGCCTAATGAAGAGAGGGGAGAGGTAGGAGGAATCGTGCTCTGGCAGGGGATATTAGACTTGTTGCCAAAATGGAGGGGGAATTGGGAAGGTTTGGCAGCTCAGAAGGGGATTTCCATTAGGGGGCACATCATTTTTCTAACGGAGGGAAAAGCTAAGAAATTTGAGGCCAAGTATGGTCTATTCTAGAATTCGTAGCACAATTTTAAGTAGGTAACATTAGATCTTCTGCTGCAATTTTACCATTTTTACAGTGCGGGGGATATTACCCTTTGTGCTGCCCTGTGTAATGCTTAGTTCCCATCTGCTTTGTGGTTTACTTTTCACATTTCTAGACTAACAATTTGTGGGTTTTTTTGCTTTTTAATATTTGTTTATTTTTTAGTGTCTGCTTTTGTAGTACTTAGCTAGCATTGAGGTTGTATGTTTGTGTAGGCGAGTTCAGACTGTCGTGGGGTTTTTTTGCCTCCTGCCTTCCTAGAGTGATAATTTGGCAAGACTGCATTATGTATGTTAATATGGTGCTACAAACATGTCTATATTCAGATGGAAGGAAAGAGGTAAATATTTTCCTTGACTAATTACCTCTCCCATGTGAGAGTGGAAGCTTTTGCTGAGAAGGTAGCTTTCATTCATGTGTGGTTTTAATTCAGTTTTGGTCTTAATTTAGGTCTTTTCTGCGTATGATGAAGACAAATTCATGTGCATATGTTAAAATCTGACCTTCAGTTTGCTCTCTGCGTTCACTGATGTGTTTTAAAATATTTTAATATATGGCTTTCCAGGCTGCAGATCAATAAACCAATGGGTCTGAAATGACAGAGTGCTACGATATTCCTCTGTAATTTAAACATGATTAGCTGATGAAGGTTATGATCAATATGCCAGGGGAAGATAAATTAATTGATATCATCCTTTCAGGATGATAAGAGGCCTATTGGAGGTGGGATGTAACTAATGAAGCTGCTTCTTCATATATACGAGCCATTTTTTATACAATGTATTCTCACTAAATCATGATTATACCATCATTCATTTACATGAAAAACATAAGCCACAGACTAGTTCGTTATTAAAATTGCGTTGATTTGAGAAGAAATTGTATGCTCACACTGCTAAACAATATCGCGGCCTGTGTTGTGACCTATTGAGAAACAAAAATCTTGACATTTACAGAAATACCTTTTTATATTTTCCAAACAAGACAGATTGAATGATGTTAGTTTCTGTGTGACTTTTTAAGTAGATGCCAGTAATTGTTGCCATCCCTTGACCTCACTTGCGCTGTCTCCACCAACATGGGTCAAGTGACTACAAACTTGTTTGCACAAGTTTCATGAAGTGTTTCCCTTCATGAAGATTACTGCCTGCAAGAAGCTAAATTTAGTTGTTAATAGTTTTGATTAGCCACTACGCTAGTCTCTGTTTCTGGTGACTGAAATTTTATTCCTTTTTTAATGTGTGACCCAAAAGTTAGGGAACAAGTGTAGTGTAAATGATTTTATTTTTAATTATTTATGACCGAAAAAGAACTCTTTACAAAGGCCTTAGCTGAATAGCCGAATGAACTGAAATTCCCGTGTATCACGGAACAAATTTCTGAAATGGTTTGACTTTTTTAAATTGAAAAGTTATAGGAGAGGTATGGAAGTTGCTGCATTTCACATCAGCTCTGTTTCCATGTTTTATTATGAGTCTGCTAAGCTGTATATAGAGATGTTAATGACTCTGATCCCTGTCTCCGTTTGATAAATGCTGCTTTTCTTTACATGTCATAGAAAATGTCTTAATAAATTGCAAAATAAATTTGGTATTTTTCCAGTTGTGCTAGTGCTGCTAAGTAATAAAGATAAAACTAGAATCCATGATGTAGCTCCTTTCCATAATGAAGTTGAATGGGGTGTGATGTGTGGCACTGCTAGTGCAGGTATTCTATGTCAGTGACCCTTTGTCAGTTTTACTATTCCGATTATCATTTGTTTCAAATGCTTTAAACTTTTGGTTCCCAAAACTGATTGTTCTGATGCAGTGGCCGATAATTAAGAAAAATCCACCTTATTCCTCAGCAGCAGCAGAGAGTACGCGTTGTCTTCTAAGCTAAACCTGCTTGGACTGGGAGTGTAGCTTTCCTGGTGAACCGTCATTCTGTGATGTAGGACACCTTCCTGTATTGTACTAGTAAATAGCACTGAGATGCACTTGAATGAGATTGTTAGTCTGGCGTTGCTCATATTTATTGTCTATATGCAAGGAGAACATCCCAAAGAACAACAGAAAATGTGTATTCCCATAAGCTTTGTTAGTGTGGCATGATAAGCATATAGTGGACTTGTTACACCGTTCCTGGTGTTGCTTTTTGTAACTTGCACACCTGCCTTCTCCCCCTCTGCTTGGATGTCACTGACTCTCTGGTCCTTGCCTGGTGGAGTCAGAGTTCCGGGACAATTTCATCCATGGGGAGAACAGAGCTGAAGTCTCACATGGAGCATATTATGGAAAACTAGCATCTGTCATCTTAATTGTATGTGTTACAAACAACTTTTGGATCATGCTTTGGCAATGGAAAACCCTGCTTTGTGTACTGTGGGTGCTGTGTGCTTTTGACATACCATACTTTCCAGTGTGTGCTGTAGCTTACCTGCCTGTATGTTTTGGTTTTCTTTAGTTGCTCAGAAGATCGTTGCAACAAGGAAGAAGCAGCAGCTCTCAATTGGACCCTGCAAATCTCTGCCAAACTCTCCAAGCCACTCGTCCGTGTGTTCTGCCCCGGTTTCTGCTGTACATATCAGCCAGGTACAGACTACAACGAATGCTTGCTTGAGAAAGGGACTGATAGGTTGCTTTTTGTCTGATGTATTTAACACCAGTGCTTTTTTTTTTTTTTTGCTCCTTGATAGGCAGTTGGCATTTTTTTGAAAGGTATCAGTGATCTGTACTTTGAAGCAGGTTTTTTTTGTTTTTTAATTGGCTTGACTTTGTTTCAAGAAACTGCGGCAGTAAAATAGTTTGGCTTTAAAGACATCTTTGATCGTATTGATTTATGCCCGGCAGCCTGCTGTTCTGCGTAGACCAATTGTTACAATAGCAGGATTTGCTGTACTGTGTTTTAAAATTACCTCAGTATGTTTTTGGTTATTGTTCTCATTCAGTTGTGTGCTGAGCGATAATAGCTGCTGTATCTCAGTGGTGAGCACTGTGCGCAGTTGTAATTGCCTGTCTCTGTTATGCTCAATTGAAATTATTCCCCTTTAATGACATAGCGATATATGTTGCTAGTGACTTGCAGATACTATGTGTAAAAAAAAAAAAAAATAAAAAACCAACCCAAAATGCCACCTTAATGTATGGCAGGATAGTCTGGTGGCCTTCATGGTGTTTTTGGAAGCATGGTTATTACCAAAATTTTCTAACTTGTGCAGTTTTTACCCACATACGTTAAGACAGTCTTCTGTATTTTGGTTGTGGTACTCTCCCTCAGTATCTTTGTTTTCTAGTGCCAAGTGATGTACATTCTGTGTACATTCTTTGTTAGGATGTATATATGTGCTCTATCATTCAGATCCAAGATCTTTGCAGCCAGGCAGATTGTGTTTCTGCTGTGCACTCGCACTCCCAGCAGATGGATGTACAGGCCCGTCACAATGACCCTTGCAGTCTGTGGCCAGAACTGTGGCCTGGTTTCCTGATTTCCACTCTAGCCATCTGAAATGTCAGATACCTGCCAGCTTTCCTGGCATGATTTTCGGTCTAAACTCAATAATATGCCAATAAAGTCTTCTGAGGTTATGCTGCAGTCCTGAGCCACCCATGTGAGGTTTTGTTTTATTTGGGGCCCTTTCTCCCACACTGAGAAAGTCTGCTTTTTGGCAAAAGCAGTATAGTGAAGAAGTGTTTTATCTTTGGGGAAAGGGTGGGGGTTTTTTTTCTTTAATTTGACGTGTTATTGTCTTCTGAAAGCACGCTGTTTAGATTTATGGCACAGGATGAAGGCTGTCTCCTGTGTTCATAGTGAGTGCTCTCTTTCTGTGCCCTAGTGGAAATTTTTGCGATTGGGTTAACTCTAAAAATGGAGATGCCAGTATGGTCTTAGAGTTCTTTACTGTGGGATGTTCTGCCTTCAGCTGAGCCCGGATACCGACCTCAGACTGTCACTCTCACTTCTGCTGGTGACACCAAAAGAAAATGCTGAGGTTCAGATCGCCCTTTCTAAAGCTGGTGCTAAGGTGCATGACTCTTCCGAACAACCCTGTCACCTTCTGATGAAGTACAAGTTCCTGATATGGAAGAGGGTCTCCCCTTTCTTGTCGTATGTGACATAGATCAAGTTTTCTCAGCGGCTTTCTCTCTGACCAGGTCATTGCCACAAGTGCTTGGAAGTAACCCTCTACATGAAATGCTTTTCTTCCAAAGAGATTCCCCCAGGCAGTTGTGTATGTTCGTACTTCTAGAGCAAGAGGAATTATGCTGTCCGTAGGGGCTGCCTTGGGTACTGAGACCTGTCCTTTTCAGTGGTGAAAGAGGAACTGGGCTGTCACAGAAATGTGGTGGATGAATGGCGCCGTTTCCAGTACTGATCTTACTTTTGGATCCAAGAAGGACCTAGTTTACTCAGTCTGCTGATGATTGTGTAGTTTCTGAAGACTTCCTAAAGAGGATGGGTGACGCTTTGTACAACCTAATCTTAGCCAGGTGCATCTCTGTGTTCTCCATTTTCTTAAAGCAGTTGAGGTCACCCTTCTTGTTAGTGAAGCTTGTTTGGTTAACGAACATGAAGTGTCTGGGTTCTCACCAGTTTCCTGCCCAAGTCCAGCTTGGAGGCCAAGAGCAAATACCAAGTTTTGGAGAAGTATTTCACGTACAGAGCAGACTGCTTGCCAGTGATAAGGACTGTTTGGGAAAATTGAGACAGGGTAGCTTTCATGATAAGGATCCCTAGGATCTGTTTCAATAAACGTGAAAGAATATTTTTCCTTTACTAGCTGGCGTAATTATCTAATGGAGCAACTGCAGCACCATTCAGAGATGTCTGTCTGCTGAGACTGATGTCATGCCTAAGAGTACAGGCCATAAATCTGTTTCATATCTTTTTGTGCTACACTTAAAGCCAGTACAAACTTGTTTAAGGAAAGGAAACTGTATCCTTATCCTAGACTTAAAAGAACTTTGCAACTGCAATTCCAAGCTGAAGATGATCTGGGGGAAGATTTACCATCTCTGATCTTGGCTGGAAGACTGGCTGGTGTCTTGCCCTTTAGAACATCTCTTTTGACGTAATGATGTTTCACTGAAGATTTTCTCCATGAATCAAAATTGCTATAATTACAGTGCCCTGCCACTTGCATTCGACACAGGAGTGAAGGCCTTCAGAAGCAGTGGTTACACAGATTGCTTCAGATAAAGTGAGATATTGTTCTTTCTCTGGTTGGATCACTCCAGTGATCTAACTCCTGCAAACTCTCCAGATGACGGCAGTCAAGAGCTTAGGCTTTAGAGAAAGGGAAAAAAAAGGGAGTGGGGGGGAAGTGTCACTTTACCCAGTCTAGTTCTTAGCATATCTTGGGCAAAATTCTAGGGCTGAATACCAGCAAGGGCTTCTCTGCCCAGTAGTTTTAGCTTTCAAATTGTGAAAGATCTGTTTGTGTGTTTGGATGCCTCTCTGAACTCATGTCCAGTAGTCCTAGGTGGTGAGCACCTAGGTCACGTACCCTTCCAGAAAATGCTCTCAGATATGTCTACACTCACGCACTTACGTATTTCCAGAGACCTGTTTCACAGAATGAGATGCTTCCTATTTCAATGACAAAACCCAACTGTGTTTGCAGTGGGTGCTGCTTCTGTTTTGCTTCTCTGACTTTTTGTTTATAGTACATGTATTGCAGTCAAGGTGAGGGTTTTACTTGGAAACTCTGATAGCCAGAGTCAGTAACCCTTGGTTCAAGTACTTCATAAGTTGGCTTTCAGGCAGCACAGAATGCGTGCAAAGAATTTTATCCTCAAATCTAAGGATATCATTCATGATTCGTGATGGACAGAACTATTGTGTACTCTGTCAACAAGAAGTATGGTGCAATATTGCTTATGTTCCGCTAGGAAACAATTAATCTGTGTGATGCATTGAGAAGTACTTCAGTCAGCAGCTCACCTCCTTGTTTTTCTGAACACTTCAAGAGGTAGACTGGGTTATTTTGAGAGGAAGAAGTCTTGTTTAGTGTATTGAAGGCCTCTTATATGCCAAAGGGCATCTCAGGATGGGTCTCATCTTACTTTGGCCATCAACAAGAAATGCACACTGGGGGAATACAGACCAGTTACTTCTGTATCTAGTGTCCTCCCCATCTCTAACCCACCTTTCACTTCACCCCCTGCCCCTTGCCAGTCATTGTAGGCATGATATGCTTGTAGGCCATGCTAAATCTTATTTCAAAGTAGCATGGGTTCCCCTGGTATCACAAAACCACATAGGCATTCCTTTTCCCTAAACTCCTTCCTGTACTGAAGGAGTTGCTTGTCCTTTACGCCTGATATATCAGGAAGGCATTTTAAAGTTATTAACTTACAAGAGCAGCACCAATATCCAGCAGTTCCGAAGGGCTCTTTTCTCTGCCCAGACCCTGAAAGTGGAGATCAGCTTGTTCCAAAAACCATGAGGCTGCTCAGGTGGGCACCACCTTTTATCCTCAGTGCATTCCACGCAAGATCAAGATGCATCAGAAATTTGTGTGAAATAGCCATGGACTGGATAACCTGTAGAGTAGTTACCTGGAGCTGTGCCTGGTTTTAGGTTTGCATGGTTGTGAAAACATCTAAAAATCCTGTGGCATGACACCTGTAGCTGCTGTTTGCGTGAAGAACTTTGGATTCCTCTTCAGACAAAACCATAATGTGGAGATGCCAGCTAGGAGTCCCCAGCAGTGTGAGCTTACCGGTGGACTACAGTTTTGAGGGTAAAATGAAAAGTTTGTTTACCAGTCACTGTACTTCCTTGAAATCTGTAGTCTGCAAGTATGTTCACACTTGCTAGCTTTCCTGGAATTCAGCTGTTTACGTTCTGCTGTGAGAGGGAATTGAAATGGCACCGTGTCAGCAGTGACACTCTCCTAGGAGATTTGCATTATACCCGAGGAAGGTATAGAGCTTAACATACGTTTTACTAAACTGCAGCTTGAGTATGGCTAGCACACAAACTTGCTCCCTACTGCCTGCTGCAAATCTGTAAAGATGCATTATTTATGCTTGCAATACGCCTCCATAAAGCTTTTACTACAGCATGATTGTCTAAATATGTAAATTAAACTATTAAAAGTGCAGTCAGCTTAATCATCCATTATTTTACTGTATATGAGACCTGGTTATGGGTAAGCACTAAATAGTTGGGTGCAATTATTTATAGTGGGGGTCATTTGGGATAAAATATTCTGTTGTAGTATTTTGGACACTTGAATAAAGAAGAGCTTAACTAGCTTTTCCTTCTGTTTTTCCGTGTAATTGCAAAACGCAAAATAAAAGAGAAGTGAAAATAATATTTAATACCTTTGCAACATACATTGTAATCCTTTTGTATTTACAGGGTGATTTCTAAGTAATCTCTGACATTTATTTACAATAAGCATTTTATATATGTGTATATGTATTCCCCTTCGTTCATGTGCATGGTTTCACACACAGTACACATGTATATGGAAGTGCGTTCTCCAGGACTCCAATGTTAAAACTCAGTGCATCTGTAGGTGTACTTTTTCCTCCTTGCTTTGTCTTCACAGGACTGCAATTACATTCCGAATTAGTTTTTGTTA